GGGGGGGGGGGGGTGTACATTAAATGGAATGGCCCTCATTGTGCAATCAATTGAGCATTCTTCTGACAATCAAACAACTGCATATTGCAAGAATAAAACCTCAGTCACAGAGCTGAAACCATGAATGGTACATATATACTAACCATAGTGATCGAGCAGCCATGTACCCAAACTACGAGATACTTGATGTTATCACGATCTTTCAGGTCCAGGAATGTGTCGACAAATATGCTCGTATTTTTGTTTTCTCTGTCGAGAACATGAGGAATACAAAACTGAAAGACGTTAGAAATGAATGGAAACACAGTAGGTAAGAAAATACAACCTATGATCAGTGCGGCAAGTACCGGCACCTCTTCAGAGTTAAATGTTAGTGCCATTTGTGAAATAGTGCACCCGCTGAAAATTCAGAGGCTCAGATATAGGTATCTATTAAGACTAATGTGCCTGTACGTCTCTCGTCTTTAGATTTTTCTTCGGTAAAAATAAAGTCATGATGATTGCACTTGGAAAAGACAAACAAGAAGAATATAAAGAGAATCTCTCCCAAATCAGCAAGGTAAAAAATTTTCTTCTTCAATACAATAATTAGAGCCTTGTTTTCGTGATCGAGATGTTAGGCTTTGACTAATGTCATGCACACGGAAATGAGCCACTATAGCCAAAGTGACATACTTTCCAGTATGGTTTAGTTGTATACATGCTTTGTTTGACTTTGATGCAGTAGTTTCTTGCAACAGTAATCCATACAATTATTACGCGTTTCTGCATTTTGAATTGCAGCATTTAAAAGGTCAGAGAGGGCTTTTGTTTACAAATAAGACAAAAGATGAAGTACTGAAGTAAGTTATGTAAACAGTAAACAAAACTTGTTTATGTATGTTATTATTTACAACTTTCGTCACAATTATCTTATCAACAAAATGTTCTGTTCTCTGAAAGGTGGTTTTCAGATTTTAAAGAATTGGACTATGCAAGATCCGGGAATGTTGCAACATATGACTTAAGATTGGATGCAGGTACTGACACGTTACCAGTACACTAGATTTAATATCTGGGTGTGGGAGGGGCTTATTATATGGGCAAGTCTTAGCAAAGAAAAGATAGTTGATGTATTTACCTGTGATAATCCGTCAAGAATAATAATATACCGGTTGTTATTCATGTACTCAAAGTTGAAAATATCTGCTATTCATCATGCTGCAATTCATTTCATATTCAAGGGCCACTGGATCAGTTCACACATTCGATGGAACCAAATCTTAGACAGTTGGGTCTTCCTACCTCATTGCAAAAAGGTATGACTAAATTTTCCAAAAAAATCAGGACTTGCTAAGATTTTTAATTTTTGGAAGTACAAGCTGGGATCTTCGTCAGTGAAAAGGAGGAGTCATCATTTCAAAGCTTTGGGAAGAAACAGATACCTTGCATTCAAACATACAGGGAACATGAAATATGAATTTTTTGTCTTGCTATAGGAGAAGTTGTTCTCTTAAATGACCACGAGGTTTGCAAAAAGGGAGATGTTCTCACACCGGAACAAGCCAGGATACTGGTAGGTGGATGCACATCAATCCATTAAAGCCCCACATGTTTCCCTTGATGGAGAAATTCATATGGCATTAGACCTTCATATAAGGACAAGTAATTGATGCAACTTAAAGACCAGTGTTCAAACGGATCGTCTAGCTCTACTTGCTTTTCAATTTTAGTAATCCCCCGCTATTTTTGTTCATTTTCAGAAGTTAATGGGGAATCCAATGGTGGAGTTTTGTGTCAGTCTTGTGTGTGTTTGGTCAAATGATGGAACTTTTGAAGAACTAACGTAACAACAGAGTCCGGCTACAGTATATATTGAGTGATAGCAATATTGCTGTAATATACAAGTCATTAAGTCAACAATGTGAAATACTCTGGTTGTATTATTAGCATTCTTCAGTGCAGCATAGATCATAGAGCCTTTGCCTTTCAATGATAGCTGATAATGTAATTTAAAGACGTAAGAATGATTTTATTAGCTTAAATAAACTAATTTAGGCAAATGAAGCAAAGCTTGATTTATGTATTAGTAATATCAACTTCGGTATGTCAATAATATGGCCGTTTTGAACGACTACAATATATATATATATACAATAATTAAAATTATAGTCCTGACTACACAGGCTATTATAAAAATCTTAAAACTTATGTAAATTTTACAAAAATACTGTAGTAACATAATGCCAGTGATTCGAAACAATCAGGCATTTAACATAATTTAAAACACTCAAGTATTCCTGACTATATAAGGTATGTATTCCTGTACCTATACATTGGCGGACCACTAGAAAAGTGATTGGGGGGCAAAAAACAGTGTGCAAAGGAACACAAATGAAAAAATTGTGCAAAGTGTTAAAGAAAAATTCCGCAAAAAATTGCAGCACAAGCCAAGCAAAAATATAATCGTACAAGCTGAAATTTGCCCTCCACCATCACTTTTTTAATGGTTCGCCCTTTCTATGGTACTACAAAGCCTAATATCTCAGTATACAATTACATAATTTGTCCCGTTCTGCTTCCACGCAGAAGACCACCGTACCAGTCTACATAAGAGACCTTTATAGGCGCATTGTACAGATGATAACAGATATGTAACCGATATCTTTTTTTGTAACTGATATCTTTTTTTGTCATTTATATCGCTTTTGTCCCGCCATTTTAATAATTGTTGCGTTGGAGCAATGATTAATATTTTAATAAATTCTGAGCCTGATAAAGGCACAAGTATACAATAAAATACGATAACTTATAAATTCATGTTCATTTTGGATAATGTTTGTCCACAACTTTAGATAACTCGCATACCTAGTTACTATTGCTGTAGTTTACAGAAGCTTATACATAATCCTAAACCAAGTTCTAGAATTTCTGTAGAAATGTTTCTGTAGACTAGAACAATAGTAGCTACTAAACTAGGCTTCTCAAACTCATTCATGTTAATTCTGTATTTAGAAATAAGAGGAAGATTACAGCTGTTTTTCGTCAACTTTAAACTCGATTTTCTCTTAAAGTTTGATTCGTTTGAGAAGCTATATCCAAAACTCGCAGGTATTCTTCCTCTGATTTCTAAACAGACAAGCTGGTTAAAAAAACTCTGCTTCGCCTCGTATTTTCAACCTGCTTGTCTGTATTTAGAAATCAGATGAAGAACACTTACTCGTGTTGGATATAGTACATCTAAGGCATGCGAGGTGTCCAAAGACAATAATGGTAATATACAGCCAATTCAAAAAAGGTTGTCCTTTGTAAGGTCCGAACCTTAGACTCTAAGGACTAAGCGCGCAAAGCTTAATGAGAGCACAAGTTTCAAGCTTTAGTAGTTGAATATTGCAGCTATTTGTGAATGAATTGTTCTCGTGAGGACATATCTACCATGTCTCTAAGAAATGGGCCCCATATATGATTTTTAAACTGATTAAATGATACTTCCCATTATGCTTTGCACGCTTAGAGTTTAAGGTTTGCACATGACCTTTTTTGAATTAGCTGTATAAAAACCCCCAGATATTTGGATCAAACTTCCATTTCGCCGGAATCAACTAATAGATACAGTCCTTGTTTTCTCATGCATTCAATTTCAGATTTCCTGACACACTACTGGAATATTATGCATAACGCAGCGCTATTTTTCTTTTTAGGAAAGACAATTAAATAATCATTCATTGAGTCAGTTGTGGCTTATCATTTAAAGTCAATCATTATAGTTTCATTTTTGTGCATAAAAGCAAGAAAAAATCATAAAAACTGAGCCATGTGGGAAACCTGCTTGAGACCTGTAAAGCATCTTCTCCGCAACTAGTTGGGCAAACCTTGATTGCACTGTTTTTTTGCTCATATATAGATGTAATGTAATGAAGAATCTGCGTTTTAATATGCCAAGGATAGGTGATAGTTATATCGACTATATATTGCTGTGTCAATGTCCGGAATGTCCGGTAAATGAATTTGGTCAATTTTGACATTTGAATTTTCAATTTTGTCATAAAGATAATTTTGTCAAACTTTTCATTTAAACACCATTTGAAACATTTAAGCTCCAAAAGGATATAAAAACAAATGTTTTGTAAAAATGTAAAATATGCAACACGTTTTAAATTAATACAGAGAGAGAGAGAGAGAGAGAGGTCTATAGTGACTATACTGGTATTGTATGCCAAAATGAATAGCTCTAAAAACACGTAACACTATACAACACGGGTACACACAACAAGGAGAAGAATAATTGCAAACGTTGAGAACAAAAGTAATTCAACACAAAATAATAGATTCATTCAACCTTCCAAATTTTAATTATTTCTACGACCCCCGAACACTTTTTTTTTGTAGAAAAATAAACGAATTCTCCAAAAAAAGATGAAAACATTAATTTTTCATTTTAACTACAAAATATTCAAATTAAAAAAAATTTGGAAAAACACAATTTGGTTATTTTGTCGAATATGTTTGCGTTCACCTTCATAGTAAATATTGCCAAAAAGAACAAGCAGAAAAACCTTATCTATTGTTTGTGATTCACATATGGTTCAATGTAGTTACATTTCTCAAGTAACTTTTGACAGAAATGAAGACACTATCTGAATAATATTCTTTAAGGAAAAACCAAAATAGCGTGCTTATTTGTTCATAGTTAGCCTTTATGGTTATTACAGGCAATTGATTTCATGTTCATGTTAAATTTAACCACAAGCTTATAAAAATTTCAATAAAGTTTCCATAAAAGTTTCAAAAAAAGTTTCCGAGAAAACTTCCGATTCATTGTTTCAATTATTTACTTAATATTTATTTAGACGTATTTAAATCAAAGCAGAAGTTCAACTACACATCAAAAATGTTCAGTACATGCAGTTGAATAACGTTCTTCGCTTATTATAAGTTATTAACTAACATAACAACACCCCCCCCCCCCCAAAAAAAAAACCCCAAAAAATTAACATAATATTTTGTGAAATAGATAAATCTCCCATGCATGCATGCGTATAATTTCATAGGTGATTTTTTGGTAAAAAATAAAAAATACACATTTCTTCGTCATTTAATTGACAACACGGCTTCGGCCGCCATTTTGAAAATCGCCTAGGTGATTATCGCGCTATAATCACCTCAACGGCAACCAACCAGCGTGGAGAATTTTCAATAATCACTTATGTAAGTATACTAAAGATGAATAGTAGCTACCTAAATTGCCTGATATTATAGTTCTCATTTTGGCATACACGAGATTTACCTATAGGTCCTAGCTAAATTATAATAAATATTACACTTTATGTGCCTTATCTAGAATTGCATAAAAAATGTAGTCTTGAAAGTCTAATTTATATAGTCTTGAATTTTTTAATGATATACTTCCCCTACTTCCCCTTGTCACGCTTCTTTAAATGCATAAGATGCAACATGTTAAAGAAGTGGAAATTCTGAGCGTAGGCTTTCTGAAAGGAAAATTTTGAAAATGTTATCATCGAAATACATGCTTGCTTTCAAGTAATATATCATGTGTGGTTTCCCCGTAACCGCGGAGAAGATGCTTTACTGTTCAGCCTCTCGCGAGTTCAGACGTCTTGTAGTACCAAACAACTTGAAGGTATCTCTATCAAGATATTTTTGCTTTCTCCGAAAATCAAAACAATTCGTATTCACACACACAATATCTTCAGCTTCGTATAGAAATTACAGATCATGAGGGGTTAACATCTTCTACATGTAATGTATTATCCAAATATTTTATATACTATTATCTTCTGTATTTTATATTTGAATATGAACGAAAAAATACATAACATTAACAAAGAGTGATAAAAGATGTAAACGTCAAATGGGCAATTAGTATAGGAAGCTGAGGCAGTTTACTGTATCGTGAAAAAAAATCCATTCGTATCAAATAGTGTAACCAAAAATCACGCATGACTTGATTCACGTCAGCATTTGTATGAATAACATATTCCCACACAACATGAAGAAAATGACACCCAAAGGCAAAACACACTCGTCAACACCTTGTGCATGGTAGCCAGCGGCGGCGGAACATATTTCGTGATTAAAATTTTCTTCCCCCCCCCCGTCGCCACTTTTTTTTCGGACATAAACTAAAAAATTTTCCGGACATATACAAAAAGGGGCTGAAAAAATTTTTCCAGACATATAACAAAAATTTTTTCTGGACATACAACAAAAACATTTTCCGGACATACATTTTTTAAACAAAATATTGCAAATTTTTCCCCTTATACCTAAATTTTCTAAAAGTACCCTTTTACTTCTAGCCCCCCCCCCTGTTCCGCCGCCACTGATGGTGGCCCTCCTGAATGCTACGCCACACACCTATTCCACCTGACTCAACTGTATAAATATGAATACTAACCTTATGAAAACTCGTTGACAACCGGCGGCCATGCAAGGCGCTGTTAAACTATGCAACTTGTAACACTCGCTGCAATCGTCGAGTCTCGCAAGATATTTGTTGCAAGAAGCATTGCGCGTCAAGTTAAACTTGACGCTTGTGTGAAATGCTTCCCGCAACAAAAATATTGCGAGGCTCGTCGATGGCAGCAACTGTTTCAAGTTGCATAGTTTAACAGGTCCGGTTTTCCATTGAGCGAACTTGTCTGTGCGGCGCTATAGTCGGAAAAAATTCGGCAATGTGATTAATCAGCGAAAAAAAATCACCGCGAAAATGTTGGACGATATTAACAATTATTGAATGAGGTTGCGCAGCATATCAACCGGTATATTGTATTAATCTGGATATCGTGCGTAAGAATCAGCCAGTAATTGTTTTATTATTCATTCTGTGATAGTAACAAATAAAACCAATGAAAATTAAAAACAAATGAAAATTCAAATACTGTATTTAAATGAAAATTCATTGACTTTTTCCCGCCATTACTGATTCACACAGTACAATGAATAATAATCATACTACTTATTCGCTGCGATTGTTTTCGCTAATTAATCATATTGTCGAATTTATTTTTATATAGCTTCGTGCGAACAAATTTCCCCAGTGGAAAACCGGTGCCGGGCCTTTGTTAGTCGTCCATGTATAAACTGTCTTCCATGCAATCTTGCACGTGGCCTTCGATCAGATGATAAGGGTAGCTTCTTGAACAATATGGACATTCGATAAGCGTTGGAGAAGACTTTGCTTGACTTCCTTGACGGTTGCTGGTACTAGATTCATTAACACCGCCGGCACCATCTGCTACCACAATCGGTTGTGAGGTACGTTCCTGCAATGAAAATATTGTATGAAAAAAAACTATAAAGGAAAACTACGAACAAAATGATAAAGCAGCCCTTGCTAGTGACCCAAGCCCAAGGTGTTTCTATATGCGCGCATTTACTTAATCAAGCAATATTGAATAAATGCAGTCAATAAACGTAATGCGTCATTGCGTCCGTATAAATCGTTTCTTCGTCATGAAAAAAAAACGCTTGAGAAAGGCGCGCGCACATGTTTTGAGTCGCCCGTTATACAGTAGAGTAAAAAAGTGTGTTCAATCAAATGCTTTTCCAAGCGAGGTCTGATAAAGCAACTATATGACATTCTGACTTGGTAGCCTTGACATTCTAATTTGGTAGCCTTTTTACTATACTCTATAGTGCTTTAATAAAAAATATTATATATTGTATTAAAAGTTATATATATTAAAAGTTATATATCACGATATTCGATAATATCGCGATAAATGCAATAAAAACAATGACCACATTTTTCAATTTCAAATAAAATAAAAGCAAAGTAAGCTTATATATAATCTTATTAAAAACAAGTAAAACAACAAATTAAAGTAATATGAAGGCTTTTTCTAGTCTAATATTTACTGTTCATAAACCATAACTGTCTATGCAGTGTCTACTGTGTCTCCACTGGCACAAATGCCGCGGGCACACAGCGCAAGCAAAACCTGCAATTTCAGTGTTTAGCGGATTAATTAATACATAAATATTAGCTTTTGTATCATATTAAATTCGTATTTAATTCTTTTAAAAACTATATTTTCCAGGAATTGAAATATTTTTTTAGAATTTTATAAAAGCTATAGACACATGCGAAGCAATATCATGATAGTCATTGAGCATGACGATAATTTCGATATATCGTCTCTCAGGTTTCTACCTTCGATACGATAATCGCGATTGAAAATATCGCGATAAATCAAAATATCGAAATATCGCCCAACCCTAATTTTAAGACAGATACTTTGCAACTTACGTGAAAAAAGCTCCTCGATGCACTTGAGCCAAATGGCTGACCAAAACCAGTCTGAAAGCCGCTGGTAGTCTAGATATGAAGTAAAACAAATATGTTAATGAATAATAATTTTCTTCACTAACAATTTAACCTTTGTGGGAATAATTAATATTAAATATTAATATAATATTAAATGTTAATACAAGATTAAATCATATATGCATTCATTTACCTTATGACGATTCTTCTCGTCATTCAATAATTTGCTCATACGTTCAATCTAAAAATAAAAAAAATACAACTTTAGAGAAAGATGTTTCATTTGTTCATAAAACTTATATATTTGCCCAAGTTATACTGAAAACAAATTTGTCAAGATGGATCAACTGTCTGACAGGCCATCTGTTTTTTGTGCAGACACAAGAAAATTAACTAACTAGAATAACATTGGTTGACCACAACTGATGTGAAGAAGTGTGTAATAAAAAGCTACTAGGTATTCCTTACTTCACTTTCAAAATGACGTATTGTTGCCATGTGTGATTGATTTTCACGTCTCAAGCGTTCACTTTCCTGTTGCGCTGTTTCCATTCTTTTCTGAATGCCTGCTTTCTCCTCATTTTCACGTCGGAAATCATCCTCATAGGTTTTTAACTGCAATGAGAAGAAATACGCTAAAACATGACTGTTTATCAGCGTGTATATGTGCACAGTATTTCTGTCTGACGTCATATTTTAATATATACAAAATCATATTTTCATCACAATTCCTGACGAATTAGTGCATTAACTCAATCTTGTTGGTTTGCAAATTATAGGCTTTTTTTTTCCTTTTTAAATTTAATGTTCTTTAATTCTTTATCATAATTATTATATTTATCCTTACAATGATTTGCAAAACTCCATGGAGCATTATCAGGAATATTCTACAGTAACGCAGTAGAGTTGATTACACATAAAACTTTTGTTGCTGTTGTACAGTATTTAATAAACACACTTACAGAATCTCTCATCATCACCATCATGGCTTCTTTCTCAGCAACTTGTGCACGTAGGTTTTCACATGCTCGTTTGAATGAAGAAATCTCCTCCTCAGATTCTTGTTGCTTTGAATTCAAGCTCACAACTTGGTTGAAAAAGCCGGCACATTTCTTTTGGAAATCAGCACACCTCTTTGCAGTTTCGCTCAATTCAGATTCCATTTTTTGGTTCCTTTCATTTGCTTTTGCTACTTCGGCTGACAACTCTGTTATTTGCTTGGTTAAATTTTCATTTTTCTTCAGCATTTCTTGTATCTCTGCTGCTTGCTCTGCTATCACCTTCTCTTTTTCTCCAACCAGCTTTGATAATTTATCTAGCTCTTCATTGTAAAAAACATCTCTTGCAGCGGCATTTGCGTTTTCACTCACCTGTGTCGAAATTATACATTCACAAATAAATTAAGTAAATTTCCATATAAAAATATCCACAATATTAATTAACCAGGGTTTGAAAAATATCTTATTTTCTCGGATCGCAACAATAGCAAATCTTATAAATGGTTTTGAAAATTTGATCGCAACTAAATAAAATTCAGTGTATTCTAAAGTCTAGACAAATTCTAGACATCATTTCGGTCTTAAAAATAGACCTTACTCCAACAAATAAATATTAAAATATTCTTTTATGTTATAAATTCTAAGCTCTTATTTATTTTTGTCTCTATGATCTAA